AAAGGAAGTTAAACACTGATACACAAGAACAAAAACAAGTCCTACACAAATCAAGGTGAGTTCTGCCTAATCTATATAAAATGTTTAGCTCAATGTTTTTTTTATTTTTCAGTCTGAAACATTTACATTAAAGAGTGCTCACTCAGATTTCCAGGGTTTTTCCTGCATATAAAATGTTTGCCACCCCAAGAGGTTTTGGCCAGCAATAACAGGAAAGTTGACTGACTTGTGTTAGATAAGGTAACGTGGAGTCTTTACATCTTTGCATTAACTATATGTGAGCCAGTCATGTTTTTACACATGTATTCACTCCAAAAGCTGGACATTTTGAGCTCTTAATGAGCTACCACAAATTGACCAACTCAGTCAGTTTGTCACTTAGCCAAAAGCCAAAAAGGCATCTAGTGCTTTTACTATTAAAATCACTCCAGGTTCTTGACATCTCTGAAATGCATCTCCAGCTGTTCGGTTGAAGGTTTAGAATAAGGAGTAACTAAACAACTCAGGCTGTGAAGTAGGGATAAGAATTAGTTATTGCCATTAAACATTTGAGTACATATAACACCTAGCCTAGTGCTATTCCACGTTTTGGTAAAGCTAGTGAAATGTCTATATCTAAGACGCATATTGCGATTTGGTCTCCATGCTGTTGGTTGCAGATGGTTAAAGAGTTGTCCTTTCACAGTGTGGTGCTGTAAGCACCTTTGGACCTGAGAGGTACTGGATAATAATATGGAAGGTCCCAGTCCCTGTGTGCTGTGAATGAACCAGAGTGCCGCATGACCCGATCCACGTATCCAGAGACCGTTGGGATCTCTTCCCTTGGATGGTCGCCACAGTTGGGGACAGTGGGTGTGACAAACCCCTGCTTCATTTTGTACCGGCTGGTCCAAGCCTCCATGGGTTGGAACTGCACCGGCTGCACTGAGAGGTCATCCTCTTCATCATATCCCCTTTGGCTCAGGAAGTCCTTTAGTATTTGCTTAAACACAGATGCCAGCTCCCAGGGTCGTATGTTGTTAGTGGCAAGCACCTCACGAAACCTGTGGAAACATACAACATTATAGTTAATTAAATAGTTCTTGGAGAGGTTTTTCTCATTTCCTCATCATTTATTCCTTCTTGTTTCCTTTGCGCTCTGTCCTCTCGTCTCTGACTTGAAAATCAGTCACACTAAGCCACGTTGAAATATGTCTCTGTTCCTAAAAACACAGTATCACTGTAGTTTATGAAATAGTCACACACTCTTATCTGGTTATTATTCTTTCTGCTGAAGGGGTTGGTGGTAAAGTTTGACCTCTTACATTAGAGACAGCGGACATGACATCTACTCAAGTTTTGAAAAGCTTTGACAGAGATATTATTTCTATATTATGACTTTTGTCTTCATAGCAGCAGCCGTGTAGCAATTGTGCCCTCACCCAGAGGTTTAGATTCCACATTTTATTGCCTTAACATTAGCATGGAGCCAGAATTTACCTCCATGCTTACTAACCTTAGCTAACTAAGGTTAACAAGGGTTCATAAACTGTACAGATTCAGTGAAAATACATACATGTTGACTAATTAGTGCTTATTAACAAATTAAGTGCCAGATTTACTAAACAGGTCAATAGCAGGTGTAAATGGCTCTCAGAGTTGCGGGTTTGCTTGTGATGTAAATATTCGCTTCCCTATATTTTGTGCCTTGAGAAAGGAACTCTCAGAAATGCATATGCAATAGAGTCAGTCGGAAAAAATCAGAGTCACTCTAACAAGCAATCTTGTCACTGCGCCATCTTTGTAAATACTCATAAAACTTTAGCACTCACTGCTGGGAGGGTCTGTACATTAACAAAGGCACAAGGTAATAACAGCACAAAGATGTTGAAGAGGATCAGTTTAATAACCTTCAGTAGTGGATGAGCCCGAACAGATTCCAGCTCTAGTTGCCCAACCTGTCAATTATTGAGACCACACCCCTAACTTGGTTATCCAGTTGGTTATAAACAAATTCAGCCCACTCAGAGGACTTATAAAGGGGAAACTAGCTGTAGATGCTTTATAATGTTGCTAAGTTAAATTTAAATGGGAGCCTTTAGGGCACAGGTGTCGAACTCCAGGCCTCGAGGGCCGGTGTCCTGCAGGTTTTAGATGTGTCCTTGATCCAACACAGCTGATTTAAATGGCTAAATGACCTCCTCAGCATGTCTTGAAGTTCTCCAGAAGCCTGGTAATGAACTAATCATTTGATTCAGGTGTGTTGACCCAGGGTGAGATCTAAAACCTGCAGGACACCGGCCCTCGAGGCCTGGAGTGCAAAACCCCTGCTTTAGGGAATGACTTCCTTTTTGAGCCATACTCAAGTGGCAACTACTAGAACTGACACTGTCCCTTGTTGGCAGTACAAGGCTACAGCATGTAGATGATGGTCTACAAATGTACAACCATGTCAGTCCCATAAGATGCAAGGAGAGGAGTTGAGTATCTACAAACTAAGAAATAATATTTCCATCAGCATGGTGTCAGCCTGCTAATGTGAAGTTTCTGTGCTTCACCTAAAATGTTGGACCTGTGTGCTTTTATCTGTTTTCTCTCACAGTTTCAAAAAATGACATATCTGGGACAACAGCGAAGATTTTTGTAAATGATAAAAGCATAATAACACATCTTATTAAATATGTTTTTCTTGGCTAAGATGTTATGTAAGCACACAGTGAACTAGTAGAGAGTTTTATGGGGAATATGTAAGTAGGTCACAGTGCTCATTGCTCAACCATGTCTAACAGCTACTTTTCCATACTGGCTAACAGACGAGTGGCAACCCCGGCAGCCTGGCTTCGCTCACCCTTACAGGGCGTCCTTCACCTTCACATGTTAACACCCTGTATCGCCTGTGTCTGTGACAATAACACATAATGGCTTTCTTGGCAGCTCGCCCTAGCTCCCTTTCCCTTTGGGTCTTCTCTGCTTTGCCTGCTGTCAGGCCCTGTTGATGCAGTAGCAGCTAGTATCTGTTGACAGCTTACTAATGTGAGGACAGAAGAAGGCATGGGTACTACTAAACACCTGGAGAGGACGGTGGCTGCTTGGATAGATGGGATCTGGGCACACAAGAACTCCAGCTGTTGTAGTTCTGATGAGGGGATGAGGGTCCGCAACCTGGGGTACTTTTGAAACCAGTGGAGACCCAGAGCGCTGTGAGCCATCCTATGCTCACGCTCCAGTTCTCTCGCCAGCCGCTCGCGCTCTTCCACATGCCACAGGAGCTCTGTGATCAGCATGCGGCTGGGTAACCCCCCTGAGATTTTCAGAGATGGTGTTTCATCCTGAGCCTGCACTCTTGTCTCATGCGACCATTTCATCCAGCTGAACAGAGGCATGGCATTCACAGCACGCTGTCTTTAAAAGCTGAAGACATTAGAATAATTAGTTATCTTTAGCATCAAGACAGGATTTTCACAACACAACAGAATCATAATAATCATCTGAATTACTGGAATAGATGTTGCTTAAAACAAATTTCTATAACAATTGCACCTGCAAATGACAGGACGGCATAACAGCAAGTGAGGAACTGCTTAAGTCAGGCAGATGAGAAAAAAACACTGAGGTAAGCCAGGGAAATTAAAACTCTTCTCTGAAAACCTTTAGAAAAAAATAATGGGTTTTTTCCCTCTTTATTAAAAATGTTTGTGGGTACCAAAGAGGTTTTGGTCTTCCCTTAAAGGAAAATGTAATACACTGTGATTACATTAAAAAAAAAAAAAAAAAAACTTTCTGGGGATTTAACATGCTCTAATATAAAATAATTATTTTGCTATTTAAAAACCAGGATCCATTTCGTTTAAGATAACAGACTTGCCTTAACTGTGACCCCAGTTATCACCTCCCAAAATGTGTATTTCAAGTCAAAATTAACCGCTAACCAGAGGAATTTTTCTTGAAAATGGAAATGCTAATTTGCTAATTGTCAAAAATCTTGCAGTTGTACTGAAATGGGTTTGACTATTCAGGTTGAATGAAAATTATTTGATTAGAATGTTTTATTAATTTTATGTGGTAAATCTAGTTTATAACTGAAATCTAGTCTGTGACTCTTTGTGACGTTTTAATAATTCAGAATTTAAGCTTGACATTGAAAAATGATCATCCCATAGCTATTCTGTCCTTTGATCCCTGCCTGATGGCTACTTTGATTTCAAGGCTGATGTCCCAGGTGTGCGTATTTGGCCCTTTTATTCAAGCTGATAGATCAGCTGAGTTTCCACCTGGGATTCAGATGGATTAAACTGCCTGTGGGGTCAGAGGTCAGCCATACAGAAAACCTTAAGGGTTTTCGCTTAGTAAGCTGCAAATCAGCTCTTCAGATTTGCGTCCTAATTTTAAAAAAATTGTTATCACAATAATATCTGGATGAATAAGAAAAGAAAGAAATGTACTTACTGGTGAAACAGCACTGCTGACTCTTGTCTGAGCTTTTTAGAAATTGGGCAAAGAAGAGCTTTTCACAGAGTAGAGCCTCCAGCGTCTTGTCTCCATGGATCTGCCTGTGCAAACTTTACTCCTCTCACTGTTGACTACGTCCGGCAGCAATCCTTCCCTTGCTTTGTTGTTGCAAATGTTTTTGTCTTGTAGTTTTTTGTCCTGTCCTCTCACTGCGCCTGTCATGCAGACTTTTTCCAGGAGAGTTAGTCACACGCACACGGATAACTGACTAAGAGCTGTCACTTCTCTTCTCCTTTCACCCCACTCTCCTCTGTGCAGTGTGCAGCTTTTGTTGTAGGGTCAGCTGCTTTGTAGCTTGCACGAAACGTGTGCATTGGAGAGAAAGAGCGAGGACGAGGGTGCGTGTGTGCGCACAAGTCGTGGGTGTGCATTTGAGCTCCTAGTACTGTCAGGGTTTTTGTCTGCTGTTGTGATAAAATCCTCTCCTCGCTAAGAGTGCAGGAGGCACACATGCATAAACACACACACACAACCGGGAATGCTCCTCAGGCTGCAGCGCTGTGGGCCTGGTCAAGCTGACAGAAGGAAATTAGAGAGGATGCAAAAACTTAGTTAGAAATTGCATTAAGAAGTGAAATATGCAGAGAAAAAATGTGAAACTTTCTTCTAGAAAATGTTTGTTTAAAAACAAAAAATATTTCAAAAGGTTTATGAATCTGTGAGTTTAACTGTGACTAACTGATGTTGACTTATGTTTGGTTATACAGCCCCCTTTTTTTCTTTTATTGCCATACTTAAGCTCTTTTCTTTAAAAACAATTGGGTTTTGTACATGGATTACCACGTATAAAGAAGGGGAGCATTTTCCTGTTCGTTTTGTTTTTTATCTTTGTTGATGTTGAGAAAAATGCTACAACATCTAGCATTATATTCAACCTCACAGTTCCTGTGATGATCTGAAATTAATTCTTACACTCAAAGGAAACTGATTTTCATATAATATTGATAATTTTGATAAATCCTGGCTTCTAACTTGTCCTGTTTTTACCAGTACATATATTTGTCTTTGCGTTGTGAGGAAATTGCGGTATAAAGGTCGAAGCTGAAAGCTTAAACGTTAAAGTCTTTTAGTCCAAAACAGCTAATCGTATCTTGTACAGTTTTGGTGTTACTACATTAGATTTGTTTGTAATTCTCAGATTTGGTTTTCTTACAGTCCAGCAAAGATTCTTGAGCATGGCAGCCCAAACCCTGTGAACTCTGATGGAGAGAGGCTGCAAAAACCAGAACCTGCAGTGCGTAAGTACTAATTTTGTCATAGCCTTTCTGAGCCTAGGTTGTGTATTTTGGGATATACAGAAAGCTTAATTCTTAATCAGTTTAAAACTTTATTTTTCCTTTTACTCCTGCAACTTTTCTTTTCACTAGGTTATGCTAATCCTCCTCCACTCACAAGCTATGAGTATCCAGACTTGCCCATAGCCAAAAACAGACAGGAGGTAAGAGATTGACTTAGCTTGATGGTCCTGTAGTGCACTTTCATTATCCCGAGGTTCTGTTTGTCATTTTTACCGAAAGTTTTTTTATGTCCCCAGGACACTTGAGCACTTAAGCTTTTGCTGTTTGCTCAAGATGAACATTACAACAAAGTTATTTGATGCTGATGGACAACAGCTAACTTCAAATTCCCTGGTCTATTATTATTTGTTGACTAATACAGAGTAGTGTGTGTGTGTGTGTGTGTGTTTTAGGAGATAATGCTGTCATTTAAGCTGGACTTTCTTAATGCAGATTATAAAGTCTAAAATATAGGCCATAAATCAGCTTACCACATCCATCTGCCCAACAATTTCATAACTTTTTCTCCAAATTTCATTTGTTTTTTCGATGATATGCGTTAGTAGCTAAATGTCCTTCCTTTTTTTTTTTTTTAATCAAATGCCTTTCTTTTTAACTGTGCACGTGTCCTTTTGTGTTTTTTATGTGTGTGTCTGTTTGCGGTTGTTTCCAGCTGATTTCCCTCATAGAAAACAACTCTGTAGTGATCATTCGAGGAGCCACAGGCAGTGGCAAGACCACCCAGCTGCCACAGTACATTCTGGACTATTACAATGAGAAAAATGCCTCATGCAACATTGTAGTCACCCAACCACGTAAAATTGGAGCCACCAGTATTGCTCGATGGGTTGCCAAACAGCGGAAGTGTACCCTGGGTAGTCTGGTGGGATATCAGGTTGGTGCAGTATTAGGATAGAATGTGATTTTCTTAAACTGCATACACTGCTCTTCGATCATGTAGCAGTAGTAGCAAACCAAGATACAGTGACCCATATTGATTCAAACTTTAGACAAAGAGCATTCATTATTATCTTTCTCACAACTTCAGAGTGTTTGCATGCATGTGTTAACAAGCTCTTGTATGCTTTGTTGCTAGGATGTCTGACTGTGTTGTGCAGAGCTTTGAAACTGTGTGTCTAATAATAACTGTTGTCTCCTCCGCTTGATGCAGACCTCTGGAGTTAAGGATGATGTCACTGACAGTGGGAGCAATGATAAATAGTCCGTTTTAGAAGGAGAAAAAATTCTTAGCTTATGCAACAGAAACTAAACATTATGGTATAATTTCCATTATAACATGTAAAATAGGGGAGAGTTATATCTATATATTTGTTTAGCTGCAAGTTGGCAAAGCAAAAAGTGTAACATGGATACGCAATCGATTTTATTGAGGTTCACTGATGTTTTCTCCAGTCAGAACCACAAATAGTCGTTTTGGCATTGCAGACATCAGTTTTTAAAACCCTGGAAAAGTTTAAGCCTAAAGCTACAGCAGAGGAAGTGTACTTCCTCTGTGGCCTCTGCTGTTCCTTCCTGAGGCAGTAAAAAGTAATCTTGTTGTGTTTTTTGGAGCTCAATAAATCCAAGTAGTGCTATAATGCAGCAAAACAGTACAAAACCTTAAATTCTAAAGAAATCAAATTGCAGATGGTATAAAAAGATTATCTGCAAGTTGGTATTTGCAGATGACAGGATTTTTCAAGTTTCATCAGTTCATATAGAGCTTGGGTAAAAGGCATTCTTCTTTTTCTGCCCCATCGTCATGGAATACATTACAGATGGATTTGAGTCTCTCTCAATTGATTTTACTTGCAGACTTCGAAAGACATACAAACGTTTTTGTGAAATCATCACTGGGAAGTTGTTCTTGTCTTTGATATGACTGTGTACATTACACAAATTAAGCTGTTGTTTCTTTTATTGTTGTAATTTTTATGCTTGTCTGGAACAGGTCTCTCTTGTAAATGAGACATTGAGTCTCAATGGAACTACCTGTATAAATGAAGGTTAAATGAAGGTTAAATAAAAGTAAGAAAAAACCTGAAAAAGCAAAAGACGAGAACAAATGGATGCCTTCCAGAGATTTTAGGCCCTGTCATGAAGGTGCCTTTATAGACTTTTCCAGTTAGCAAACAACAAATCAACTACGTTCCCTGTGGATTTTTATGAAAATGCAAATATGTATTTAATTGACAAGTTTGTGAATGCAACTCTGTATATATTTGTTCAGATTGGCCTGGAGAAGATGGCAACTGAGCATACCCGACTAATCTACATGACTACAGGAGTGCTGCTGCAAAAACTGGTTCAGGCCAAGTCCCTCACTGAATTCTCCCACATTTTTGTGGATGAGGTGCATAAACCAGATGTCAAATTTTTCATGTTTATATGTTTTTCTGTTAGCTACTGCCAAAAAAAGGGGGAATTTGTGTTTATTTACTTTTTTTAGTTATTTTGGGGGAAGTACAAATATTAAATCTGATGACAGACAGGTGAAATAGTAAAAAAAAGTACCTTACCACTTGGTCCCTGCAGTTAATTGCCTTGGACACTTGTGTCACTAGAATAAAGGGTGACTACAAATCAATATCAAGTTGTTCATAGTGCCAGAACATTTCTATTGTGATGAGAGTGGATTCTTCCAGGACAATGCCCCCCACCCATAGGGTGCAAGGGATGACTGAATGATTTGATAAGTATCAAAGTGATGTGGCCTCACAGCCTCCAAATCTATATCAAGTTGAAAATTGTGTGAGACTTTGGACCAGCATGTTGGAGTGTTCTTCACCGGCGTTCAGTCCTAAAAATGATCAGACTTGGAGAGTAAATGCCAGTGTTCAGCTCTTGCAACAACTCTTCTTTGTCTTTGTCTACCATTTATAATACTTTAATCTAAAGTCATTTCTAGTTTTCTGCCACGAAAGGTACTGTTATAAGCTTAAGAATAATTTAATCCTATTATTTAATGAGTGATTCTTGAATGTTCAAAATGTAACCTTTTAACAACTCTGCGTTTGTCCAAGGTTCATGAGCGCACATCAGAAATGGACTTTCTCCTGCTAGTTTTGAGAAAACTCCTCCGTTCCAACTCTTACCACATCAAGGTAACTGTTGGGTCCGGCTAAAAAACTTCCTTCGTCTTCCTCATGCTTAGTCACTTGTACTCTCACTCACAAGAGTCTGTCTTTGTTTTAGATAATCCTTATGTCAGCCACCATTAACTGCAAGCAGTTTGCTGACTACTTTGCCACTCCTATTCGTGGCAAACTGAACCCAGCCTATGTGTTTGAAGTGGAAGGGGCATCCTATGCCACTGAAGATTTCTACCTGGATGACCTCCACCACCTGTCTCCGTATAGGGTAGGTAGTTGAGAGAGTAAATGGTTGCTGCTGGTACAGTTCTCTGCCTTGAAGCCAAATCTATTGTATCTGAATTTTGTGTCTGTTTTAGACTGAATCAGCACATCCAGGCGACCCATACATCTCAGCAGATATGTACAGTCTTGCCATCAGTCTCATCCAGAGCTTTGATGAAATGGAGGGCAAAAATTCCAGGTAAGGCCAAAGTATTGTACCTTTTAGAACTGCTTGAACATGTAAATAGGCAAGGATTTAATTGTTTGTTAACTGAATATGCATACATGTATTTTTGTGTGAGCAGCAAGGCCGAGAAAGAGGGAGGCATGACTTTGTCAGAGAGAGGAAGTGTTTTGGTTTTCCTCCCTGGCATACATGAGATAAGCTACATGCAGGAGGCCTTGACCAAGCTGGTTCACAAAAGGTGAGCAAATGCATTTACCTGCTGAGAATTGTACACGTGATCAGAGTTGCTTAATGTAATGTCTACCATCACTGTACAGGTCATACTACAGTTTGTTTTCTGTTTCCTCAAACATACATGTGCCGCATAAGACAGATTGCCTCACTACATTTTGTTATTAAAGGATATACAAGTATGCAGTACTGTCAGTAAACTCCTTAACACAGACACACCGCTGTCTACATACGACGCTGTGGGGTGCGACTACTATAATGGCAGGTTGGTGACTGTTGTTTGCTCCCAGAGGCTCGCTGCGGCTCACATAAATGTGCTCAAGCTGCAAGCAATGCGATGCATCTGCTTAGCAATACAGCCTTTTTTTTGGCCATTTCTCTGTGGGTAACATGTTTAGTGAAAACTACATGGATAATTACTTATTTCAGCTGCCAGGGCAGTGCTCTTTCACCACAGCTTCACGGGCTAGCCAAAGAAACAACTGTGTTCAGCAACACCAGATTGTTGTCCCTTTAGTCAACTCGCAACAGGAATTCTGAACGAGGAGGGCATCTTTTGTCCAAGGGGATCCAACTGTTTGGAGATTTCACCTGCAGGACTTGGAACTGAGATAAGGTGGCTGAGATAAGGCTGATTTGTATCGTATATCTCAGTGCCTGCTGTTTTCGCCCTCTCATGATGCAAACGCGTCACTGTACATGCAAATGCTTCCACGCTTTCCTGCTTCTCAACCTGATCCTCCCTAGGGTTAGCCAGGCATACCCATGAAAGGAAAGAATGCTGCAGGCCTCCCTCTGAGCACCACTAGGACGATTTAGAATAAAAGGGTTTCCTCCTTGCTGTTTCAGCATGCAGTGTGGGGTTTACTGATAAACCTGCTGGACAGCACCTTCTGGTATGTTGTTTCATGAGGGGCTTGCATCATAAGCTCACAGACTGTAGACCACTGGTTCCATTAGAAGAGTTGTCTATCAATGCCCCCTCTCTCAA